GCTCTGATTTCTCTCCACAGATGCTGCCAGACCTGCTGAGCTTTACCAACAATTTCTGTTTTTGTGTAGGAAGTTCTAGACTTTGTTTTGAAAAACAGAAAGGCAGAGTATTATTTAACTGGTGATGTCTTAAGAAGTGTGGAAGTGAAGATGTGCATAAAGGGATCTGGGTATCCTTATGCAATGAACGTTGGTGCAGCAAGCAATCAGGAAGGCAAATTATATAATGGTTTTAATTGCAAGATGATTTGAGTATTCGCATTGGAATGTCTCACCGCGGTTGTACCAGGCCTTGGTGAGACAGCTCCTGGAGTATTGTGCGCCGTTTCTACCTCACTACCTAAGAAAGTTGTCCTTGCCATTGAGGGAGTGTAGTGGACGTTCACTAGGCCGGCACTGGGAATGGCAGATCCATCCTATGAGGAGAAATTGGTTTCACTGGCCTGTACTCCCTAGTGTTGCTAGGAATGAGAGGAAGATCTGATTGAAACATATGCAATTCTAACAGGACTGTACTGACAGAGAGTATGTTTCCCCTGGTTTCAGGAGTTCAGAACCAGGGGGCACAGTCCCAGGGTATGGGGCTGACCATTTGGGATTGAGGTGTGGAAAAAAATTCTTCACTCAAAGAGTAGCGACCTGTGGGATCCTCTACCACAAACAGCTGTAGAGATCAAGTCACTGAGAAAGCTCGATAAAGATTGATAAATTTATCGATTTTAAAGGCATCAAAGGGCATGAGGAGAAAGCAGGGATATGGCGTCGAGTGAGATGATTGGCCATGGTCATTTTGAATGGCAGAACACGCTTGAAGGGCTTCCTTCTGCACCTTGTTTCAGCATTGGTTTATTTAGCTCAGAACAGTAGAAGTATTGTTGGCGTAATTTCGAGTTGTATAGCTCTGATGTGCAGCCAGTGCAGATACCGAGGACAAAGCAGCTGTCTACCCCTGAGCCAATTCCCCTCTGAACCAGTTCCTCCTCTTGAGGGATGTGCAGGGTAGGGTGGATTGGCCATGCTAAATTGTCCCGTAGTGCCCAGGGATGTGCGGGTTAGGGTGGATTGGCCGTGCTAAATTGTCCCGTAGTGCCCAGGGATGTGCAGGTTAGGGTGGATTGGTCATGCTAAATTTCCCATTGTGTCCAGGAATGTGTAAGCTAAGTGGATTTGCCATGGGAAATGCAGGGTTACAGGGATAGGGTGGGGACGATGGTTGTGGACTCAATGGGCTGAATGGCCTGCATCCACACTGTAGGGATTCCATGATTCAGTGATCAAACTCGGAGAGCAAAAGGACCTTGAAACATCCGTGTGAACTTACAAACACATGTTGCCTCCATTCACATCCGCCTTGGAAGCAGGGAAGAATCTGTCAGACAGGACAGAAGGCGTTGGGCTCAGGAATTCACTTGTGGCGGTGGTTAAGGGGTGAGCTATGTGAACCAGTAGCTCTCACAGTGCATGTGTGGGCGAGCTCCTTGTATCAGGCACTGTACACCCACAGGAACCAATCCTGACAGGCTGCATGGGATTTTTTTAATAAAAAAAATTACCACATCCTAGACCCATAAATTAGCTGCTGCAGGCAAATGCAAAAATGTACGAACCTCCTCTGCCAACTAGCGATTTCAGATTAACATCACTCAAACACAAAGGTTAGATGGTCCTGTTCTTGTCAAGGGGGTGAAGATCTAAATATATTCTCTCCCCGACACCCCCAGGACAGGGACAGCATGGAGTTAGATACAGAGTAAAGCCTCCTCTACACTGTCCCCCATC